GGATCTCCTCCTCCGTCGAGCGACATTCTTCTTAGCCTGCTTCAAGGCCTTTGTCGCCTCCATGGGCATCTTTCGACCCGATACCCGTCGTCTTGGCGCGGGTTTGGCTGAAGCTTAGCCCACTCCATCGGAGGAGGGGCTGTCCAAGCAATCTGGCCCAAAGGAGAGGTCTTCCTTCGGCATAGGATCAACAGTTGGAGCTTTAGTCTCTTTGGAGACTTTGTGGATGTTGCGCATAGCCTTGGGGCTAAGGGATCCGGAGGAGAGGGCTTCCTCGTACTTGGCTTGATCAAACTCTACCACGAGAGTTTCGACGGTTATTCCAGTGAGATGAATATCGGATTGCGCCACCACTTTTTCGTCAGAGAAGCTTGTCCCCAGCGGAGTCGCCATCTTTTGTTTGTGGAAAAATTTTGCAGTAAAAGAAACAAAGGAAAATTGATTTGTATTCCTTTAATCTCAATTACAATTGGATTTCCTGATTACAAAAGAGAGGAGAATGATCTGGATTCTCCCCTTTGTTTAAATCTTGGTTCTTCACGGTGGCGATTGTTAGACCCTAGAGAGAGGGTGATTAGAGTCTTATGCTAATCTAATCCGATTAAATGCCAATTAAAACTAATTAACAAATATATTCTTGCAAGATAGATATACAAAGAGTTATGTGCAAGAATATGCAATATACAAAAGGTGATATATCCTATATGATAGAAATATATGCAAGGATATATAAACAATAAGATATATCCTAACAAAGAGATATAGACAATGTATGTGCAAGGATATAAAACTAACAAGAGGGGTAAACAAATTAACTACAAATGTGATATGGCAAAATGATCAACAAGCAATACACAATGGCGATGTAAGATATGAATATAAAAACAAGTGCGCCAAAGCAATCACAAACAAAGGATATGTTTACGAGGTTCGGTCCCCACGACCTACGTCCCCGCTCCTCACCTCGAGGAGATCTCCACTATCACAACCGGGTTTTCTACGTTCACCCAAACAACGCTCACAATACAATCACTATGCAATCACACCTCACTCACTAAGTGTTGGTCCTAGCCCGTGTCCTCCTCTTCAAGTGCTCGGTTACAACCTCTCCCTAGGCACGTCAACCGACGCCACTCCTCTT